AACACAAATGTTGATATGAATCACTAGAAATAGATGGACAATGCTGATCAAAATTTGGGATTTTTAGTATATCAAAATATTCAAGTATATGAATGGAATTTAAATAATGGTTATCCAAACCCTTTGTTACTGGTGGTAAAAATCCATTAGTTGGTGCTAATAAAAGAATAATATTGTCACATCTCATAGGTTTACAATACTCTAAATCACTACATTTCCTAATATCTAGTAAATATCAACATATTTGAGTATGCTTTTCAATCCAGTATCATGAGACAGAAGATATAGCTTGCTGAGATTCATAAGGAACTTATTCAGTATAAACTAAATGTCCATTAATATGATCTTTCCACCACAATTCACATAAAATATCACCTGAATAAGCAAAGTTTCTTTTTGCTAATTCATCATTAATTAATTTTCTATTTTCTAAATGATTTCCATATTTATCATAGAGGAGAGTAATACCAGCAAGTTTCCCTGATAAAGAAGCCATGCTTCTTTCTACTGGATTATAAGCTGATTGTCTAGGTGCATGGGTGAGAACTGTCATATAGTCTAGATCATTATTAATAAAGAATTGGCAATATTTTTTTATATTTTTTAGATGTCATAGGTTTTCATCTGGCTCCCTATCAACTAGCAAATAAACTATTGGTTGCAATTTACCATCACATCTTGTAATTAATGGCTTTAGTTCTGGTAGATCTTGTATTTTCTAAAGATCTTCCATATGAGTTAATGCAGCAGTGGGTACCCATAATTCTAGATGTATAAATATACTTAATTGACCTGTTCTCATTTGTTCATTTGTTTCCATTGGATCAATTATTAAATAGATCGAAGGTATTAGTTTATGTTTTGAAGCTACTGAAAAGTCATAATCAGAAATTTTAACAGGCTGGTTTTTACTTTGTATAGTTGAAAAGGTTCTTCCAACAGCTGGAATTCCTAAAGGTACTTTAGCTTTGTCATCTTGCGATATTATAATTGGTTCACTAGAAAATGTTTGAATAAATTGTTTAGCACCTTTTACAGATGCTAAGCAATAATGACTATCTTCATGAAATGACATTTAATTTCTAAAAACAGCAGAATTTTGAATTAGAGTAGGATGATGATAATGATTTGCTTGTTTAAAATTAAGATGACAAGGCATGAGGTAAGTTTGAAGACATGACCTTGAAAGATATTGTTGATAATTTTCTTCCATTGCTTGTCTGAGGTGTGCTAATATTCTTATTTTAATCTACTCTTTTCTTCTCCGATTATCTGCTGAGCCAAATTCCACACAAGCATGTAATTGATCAAGTAGATCTAGATTTTTTGCTAAGTATGATGGTCATCCAGACAAATCATATTGTTCTACAATATTTTGTTTCAACAATTGATATTTACATTCTCTTACACAACCTTGTGTTAGGGCATGATGTTTTAAATAATTAATACATTTAGATTGCTCATTTATAATTATTTTTTTTGACTAATTTTGATTTCTAAATCTTTCTTTATTGAGTTATCATTAGCTATATCAAGAAGTTGCATATATTCTATAATTTTTTTTTCAGAGATTTCTTTGTTTTTTTTAGCTTCTAATTGTGCAATAGCATTAGAAGGTATATCTGATTCTTGTGACATTGTTGTA